GGAAGTTATCCCATGCTCCCAATAAAAGATTGTTGTCATGACAGTTTTATGTATTTTTTACAGCTCTAGTGAGTAGCCAGGAGACAAAAACTGCAGATTAATTTTCCTACATTTCAAAGAAATGTTTTTTTACATTTTTAATTACATTACAATATGTATAAAAGAGATAAAACATTCACGATCTGCAGCAGAGAAAAAACAACAGAGCAAAGAGAGAATGAAATCCCCCATGCAGTCCCCCTCAGCACATTAGTTGTAAGTAATTTCCAATAAAGAATTATAAAAAAAGAAGACTAAAAGGAAGAGGCCCATGTTTGTACATTCCCTGAGTGTCAATATCTTTGATAATACAAGTTTAACTGAAACAACGAAAAAGGAAAGTCAATAGTGACTAGAAACAATATCTAAAAAAGATACAAACCCTTTGCAAGCTCCAGTTTAGTAGCTAAAGAGTTCTTTCACTGCTGGCACGCCAAACTTCCCAGTACGTCAAAGAAAGAAGAGATGCTAAAGCTATCCCCAAACAAATACAATCTTTTAAGTGATAGAAATTCAAATAATTTTTTTAAGAAAGAAAATTTGTTTCGCTTCCAATTATTCAGAAAAAAGCAATTTTCAAAGGGAAAGAAAACTTTTTTTTTTTTTTGGCTGTTAAAAGATTTCTGCTGATGTTGAAGTGAATGCATATTCTCTCAGCTGCGTTAATGGAAGTATTCTTAAAATGTGTGTTTGACCAAGCAATATCTGGACTCTGGCTATGTCAACAAAATCCATTTGATATGATAAGACATCAGTATTTTTTGCAAGGGCTACAGAGAAAGAAGACAAAGACCTCCAGATAAAATGAGAAATCCTCACCCAAAGGAAAACATTATGAATCAGATTTTTGGTAGATATCCATGGGTATGTATCCATGTTGATATAGATTGAGTTATGTCCATTTACATCAGGTGAGGATCTGGCTCTATATTATTAATGTCCTTTAGTTTGTAGTTTCAAGATGCATTTAGTAGTATGTGTAGTTTATATGATGCAGAGGGAGTGAAGACCAGAACTGTCTAAGAAGCTTGTATGACCCAAACCCACAATAAAGGGGGCTTTTCACCAGGTGTGAATTTTGCCAGTGGTTGTAGTGATTTATGTTTGGTTGTTTAGTGATCTACTATATGTGAAACAGTAGCATGGTTTCAGTCCAGTTCTGAAGGACAGGGGCCTCCAGTCGAGCAAAGCACTTCTGCCCATGCTGAATTTTAAGCACAGGACTAGTGACTTCGGTGTAACAGACATACATCCTTAAAGAACATTCTGAAATGCCTTGTTATATAAGGACATGGTTCTCCATACCACATATCATAGGGTATGCCTACACTAGCCCCCTAGTTTGAACTAGGGAGGCTAATGTAGGCATTCATAGTTGCAAAGGAAGCCCAGGATTTAAATATCCCGGGCTTTATTTGCGTGTTCCCATCCATTTGCCATTTTGTAATTCCACTAGCCCGAAGTAACAAGGAGTCGAGAGGTCTAATTTGTTAGTCTTTAAAGTGCAACTGGACTCCTTGTTGTTTTGACTGCCTACTCCGACTTGCTTGACCTTCATGGATCTGGGGATATGTGAACCTTTTACATGGAGAGGAATGAGTTTAAGTAAACTACAGAAATATTTTGCCATAATATTCCATTTTGTAATTCCACTAGCCCGAAGTAACAAGGAGTCGAGAGGTCTAATTTGTTAGTCTTTAAAGTGCAACTGGACTCCTTGTTGTTTTGACTGCCTACTCCGACTTGCTTGACCTTCATGGATCTGGGGATATGTGAACCTTTTACATGGAGAGGAATGAGTTTAAGTAAACTA